ATTAGCATAACTAGTTGAGAATCAGAATAATTTAATTTCCTCATTACTCCCTCCTTCCCCATCTTGTCTTGTGGTATATTGACAATTGCTAGAGATTTATTTTGGAATGGAAAATGGTAGAGATACTAGTTTAGGGTTACTTACTGTTATTGAAAGAGTCTTATTATTTTAATTTTTTATTGTCATTTCACAGTGACATTTTTAATCTCAGAATTTCTGGCATTTGATTTAAGGTATAAAATATGTATATGAAGATTTATGTATATGTATATTTACCTACATGTTAAATAAAGGCAGTATAGAAAAAACCTATTGTTTTAAGTAAAGACAATATTACAGAAAACCAGTGGCATTTCTATCTTTTTTGGGACTTCAGAAGAAACAAAACTGAACCCATCCAGCCTATAATTGTGAGATATGTAAATTAGTTTTCACCTAAATAGTTCAGGTTTCACTTAAGTAATTCTGTTAACTAAAGCACTGTACGAATGTGACCATTAATAATAGTAAATAAAGACATAGTAAAATGTCTTTATGAATAAAACAAAAGTGAATTGGCTATTTTAGTCTTTTTCTTAAATAAAGATGTCTGACTTAGTGATTATCTCTAGCTTTTTACTCTAATGACCTCTTCGTTATATTTTGTATTTATCTTTTTCATGAGGAAAGTTGCTTATTATATACATAGAGGTAAGGTAGTCAATTATCTGAATTTTTTATCTTAGACTCCGAATGGAATGCACTTTTTAAAAAAATAGGAAATTACTCCTTTAGAGCTTATCCTTACTGTTCAAAATTTTTTTTAAAAAGTATCATTGGGTTGTTAATTTATGCTTAGATGTATTTCTCAGATGATCAGTAGTGCTGGTATTTGAATTTCCATAGCTTTTAGGTATCCAGGAATTGTTCTTTTTTTTCAATCAGTAAACAGGGACAGATTGCAGTCAAATTAAGATAGGTAACTAATGTAAAATGTGTAATCTTATTTAGTAAGGATTAATTGCTTTCCTTGGAATTAAAAGGAATATTTTTAAAAACAGATATAATTTTGGTTTGGTTCCTCTGTAGTTGGTTTTTGGAGCATTTGTGCCTTCCTCCATTCTCCATTAAATAGTAAATGGGATCAGAGGGATGATAGGAACTAAGATTTATTGAATGCTTCATAAAATATTTTAGGTACTGTTAAGTATGTCATATTTAATTATCATGATCATCATGTGAGCAATGTGCTTTCAGAATCCCTGTTTTCCTGATACAAATGATGATTTAAGACAGGTAAATTCAACTTGGCAAGGTCTCCCAGTCAGCTAGCCAGTATATATATTATTTTATTGTTGACACTATTGCAGATGTCCTCCCCTTCCCTCTCTTTGCCCACCTCCACCCAAACCCTGCCCCACCAGCCCTCTGGCCTCCACCACACTGTTGTCTGTGTCCATGGCTATACATATATGTTCTTTTAGCTAGTATATTTTTTTGAACCTGTAAGATAGGAAATAATAATTTTCTTGTAATTTGTACATTAAAAGAGGACTGGTTGGCAGTTTTCTGTAGCCTTTCTGAGTAATGCCATTTGAAAGGACCTGTTCTTTTTGAATGGGTATGTGTGTGACTTTGTAGGCTTTTTTTTCTCTTTCATTTTTTTAATGCTGGCTAGTCATGTCCTTTAAAAAAATTTTTTTCAGTTCTTTAAATACTCTTTAGTTTTTAATCTTACAATGTGGCGGGCAAAAAAAGGTAATAATATATTGCAGAGTAAACTGAATGCATTTTATTTGAAATAACCCAAGATATTTTTCTACTAAGTTACTTATTTTACAGTATACCTTTTCTAATGAACATCCTTCCCCCTTTACCCAAATTTAGAGATTCTGGTTCATATTTTTCATGGAGAGTGAGTCACGTCCTTTTTTGCTCTTTTTCCTTTTTGCACATGTGTCTTAATTTAGCCTAGTGAATTTTATTGAGAAAAGCCGTAATATTTTCAGGAGATAGAGTAAATTATTTTGTGTGCTATGTCTGATGGAAGAGTAACAGAAACCAAATCTTTCCTATAGTTGTACCAAGCATTCATTTCCGATTTGTTTATCTGGTTTATTCTTACGCCTCCTTTTAAAGACCTACCTCAGATTAAGTGTTCCCAGGTTCATGCTTGCTTCTCTGGCATGCATTTTATTCTTTCATAGCACTGTGTACATATTATTACCTTTTGTTATTGTAGTTATTTACACATCTATCTGCTTGGCTAGTAAGTTTTTCTAGCTTATAGTAGGCCCTCATAGTTGTTTGAAAGTATTAACTGTATGTAAAGAGACCTTTTAGTGCAATTGTCAAAATTATAATGTTAAAATTTCCGATGGATACGGTTATTTGCAAGTAAATAATGTATTAGCCTGTTCAAGTGTTACATGACATTTTAGTGACCTCTCTTGGGCACTTGGAAAAATGACTTTAAAAGCTCCTGATAGTGTCTTCAGAATGTAAACTTATTTTATCATAGGCTATTATTGCTGACATTCCTATGCAAAGATAATGTACATTTTTCCCCTGAAAGCAGTAATGGTACTCACCAAAACATAAATTGTTCATAATTAGCTGCAGTTTTATTTACACTCCAAAAAAAATTAGCCAAGCATTTAATGTAAACAGTGTTAAGCAGGGAGTTTAAAAGTATTCCTCTTGCCCGGCCGGGCATGGCTCAGCGGTTGAGCGTCGACCTAGGATCCAGGCAATCGCAGTTCAATTCCCGGTCAGGGCACATGCCCCGGTTGCAGGCTTGATCAATGACTCTCTCATCATTGATGTTTGTATCTCTCTCTCTCCCTCTCCTTTCCTCTCTGAAATCAATAAAGATATATTTAAAAATAAATAAAGTATTCCTCTTTTAAAGCTTATTTTAAGAGAAAGTATTAGTTTTTGGTGTGTGAAAAATTTAGTCGGAGGAAAAACATAACTAGATATTATCTGTTTAAGTATTTGTCAGTTAAGTTTTTTTTTTATTAGGAAAAGGGGAGGGAGAGAGAGAGACAGAAACATCAATGATGAGAGAGTCATTGATCTGCTGCAGCCCGCAACCCGGGCATGTGCCCCCACCGGGAACCGAACCCCGATCGCCTGGATCCTAGGTCGACGCTCAACCACTGAGCCACGCCCGGCCGGGCTGTCAGTTAAGTTTTTAAAAATTCTTAACATGAGATGCTATTTTTATTTTTGAATAATATATAAACTTTTAATTACAGTATCACTATGAAATATTCAGTGAGGAAATAACAGCAGGTGGTCGTTGTGGTGGGGGTGTGTGTGTGTGTAAGATTTGAAGAGTAGTGATCTAGAAGAGGAGCTAAGATTCGGGTATACCACTATACTCTGAAATCATGTAGTGCATTTAAAATGTGTATGTATAGAAATAAGTTATATATTGGCCATAACATATGTGAAGAGATCCTGCCCTTTAGAAGCTTTCAATTATGAGATAAGAACAGGCAGTTTTGAAACTGATGTTTATTAAATATGTAGCTTGGGGAAATGTTTGTTTTTAAAATGGAGTTATAGTTTAGTGTATTAGCTATAGGTTTTCAATTACGTGTTTTTATAAAATGAACAAAACGTGTAAGCTTACTGTTTCATTATTAATGTTGGTGTGTTTTGTGCTTTTTTTCCATTTTAAAGATTCTTAGTTTTGACAATATTTTGCTCTAAATAGATTTTCAAAATCAAAGGAAAAGAATATTCTTTTTTCAGAAACCTTAAAGAATTTTCTATAGCAGTCATGATGAACATCAAAGAAGTTCTGTATTCCTGGCTATTTCTGAATATTTGTGATATCAGAAGCATTTCATCTTTTGTTGTTAGTGTTCAGTCTTTTGGTAGAATGATAGTTTTCTGACTTTATGTTTGATGCTACTTTAGAAAAGATTGATTCTTGCTCCCTCAAATAATAGTATTGAAGCTAAGAATATGAGAACTTAGTTTGTCCGATCAGAAAATAAACTTACAATTTTACATCCTGTGTGGTATAGAGGAAAGCAGGACATGGGATTTGAAGTTACAGAAAGTGGGTTTGAATCCTGGCAGTATTATTAGCTCCTTTATCTCGGGTAGTGGGGGAAGAGTATTGTGTCAGATTGCCTGTAAACAATAAAGAACTGTTTGAACGTTAACTGTTAATTTGAGACTTTGTAATTTTCTTTATAAGAATAGATTTTTATGGCAAATACTAAAGTCTGGAGTTTATTTTGTACTTCTTAGCTTCATTTGTTTTATCTGATGCTATTTGCTGTTCAAATCGTAATTCTGAGGAATGCTGATAGTATGTGAGATCAAAACTTTTTATATTTATAAAATGATTTTAGTTCCAGCTTAGGTCAGTTTTGCATTTGTTTTGGTCAAGTGAAAATTCGATTATGGTTGAAGTATTTGATAAAGTTAGCAATAAGGCATTTATTAAAATACTGAATGTTTTTGTATCTACTTTAAGTTTGATGAAACATGTATACATAATTATACTAAAGCAGAACCATATTTATAGTACTTTTTCCTTGGAATTATTTGTCTTATTCTGTCTGAAACATTTTTGTAGTTTTATTTGAAGACTTTAAAGAAATCTTTGTGTGCAAAAGAATGCTTGAGAAAAAGTTTAGTTAAAATAAACTTAACTTTATTATTTGTCTTCTCTTGTAAATTTAAAATTGAATTATCAGAATTCATAATGTTAAAAAAATTTTTCTCAGATTTTAAGCTTTCTGTTAATTTTGGATGTTCTGCATTGCTTTTTAAGGTCAGGAAGGGAAAATCGTTTTCTTTGTAAATAAAAAGACAGGTGTGCCTGTTGTCTTGCCTGTTTTTAAGTGACTCATTCATTCATTCCCCTATTGTAGCATTTTCTTTTGTAGCTTAACAGGTGCTTGACTAGATAAAACCTTTAAATAGTGAGACTAATAATGTTCCTAATTCTCTTAATAATTAATGACCTCAAACTATAAAATTATATTCTTTTGCAGTATCCCTTTTACTATTCAGCGACTATGTGAATTGCTAACAGATCCAAGGAGAAATTATACAGGAACAGACAAATTTCTCAGAGGAGTAGAGAAGGTATATATTTTGTTATTGGAATTATATTAAACTGTAGCTTAATAGATTTCAGACAAACATTGAGTAAGAGTTGTTGTAGTCATCTTTTCTTGAAATATGTTTCTCAACCTACCTAAAGTTTTTCTCTATTTTTTGAACTGTGATCAGTTTCAGAGAGAGATTTAATACAGGGGCAAAGGAGGGCTTATGATCAATTAAGTTTGACCAATTAAGCTTAGTATTATCTCTTGGATATTCACGGTATACATCAACATATTAAATGTTCTGAAAAGTTTTATAATTGATATTTTAAATTTCAATTGTGTTTTGCAAACTTGTTGATCCATGGAATTCATTTATTTCAGTTCTGGAATTCAGATGTGCGCAACTCTGGAAAATGACTGATATAAAGCATTTAAGTTAGATATTAAGAAAGGTAAAGGTCAGATTTAAGAAGGAAGGTAGTATACTAGGTTTTCTGTGAGTTGAGGAGATACTAGTAATAAGGGAAGGGCATTTCGGACAGAGGAAACAGCATGAGGAGCAACAGCAGCGTGTTTGAGTAGGTTGACTTCTGTAGAGGAGAGAAAAGGTGAAGGAGCCCTGGGAACCAAGATTGGACCAGTGGGTGGCTAATTCCCTCAGTTAGTGATTGACTCTAGTCCAGTGTTCATTTTAAGGTTATAATTCAAATTCAGTTTGTTTTACCCTGGGAGCTGGAATCCAGAACTGTTCCTTAGTGATTTACAATAGATCATAAGCCTTACTGGGTTAATATTTTGAGTTTCTTTTCTTGTGGTATGTGATACTACACACCAGGCTTTGACTGGTACTGCTTTTTAAGGAAATTCATTTTACTTGGCCTAAAAGCTTTAATGTCTAAGTATCTTGGGTGTGATTCTAACTCAAGTAAGGAGAAGAGGGTGTTTCTACTCCTACTACATGCAGCATATAACCTGAGGGCTCTTAGGGGACTGGAGCTAAAGGCAAAAACATAAATGCGTTAGGAGGATATTAGATTTCAGTCTCTTGCTGTTTAATTTTTGTTGTTTGTAGGTTTTTATTTTAAAACATTTATTTTATTAGTAAAATTAGAATAAATGGAAACTCTACCAGGATGAATTTGAGAAATTAAAAACATGATATTGTAGTACTTTTCCTCATATTAAATCACCAATTTTTGTTTGCAGAATGTGATGGTTGTTAGCTGTGTGTATCCTTCTTCAGAGTAAGTAGAGAGATTTTTTTATTTCTAATATATAACCCTATTACATTATTTCTAATATATGAGTCTTAAAATAGGTTGCATTTATTTTATATGTAATTATGCATGATTACATTTATAAATACTTGTGAATCTACCACCCAGTTTCTAAAATAGAATATTACCAGTAGCATTACCTGTGTGTTTTTCCAATAAAGGGATTTGGATTAAAGAGATTTGTGATTTACCATAATCTTCACATTGCTGGATTTATGTATTGTCCTTGCACTCAGGGCCCTGGGATGATCCCATCCTAGGTACCTTTCCAGGCATCTTTAGAGGTAATTCCTAGGTTTGGGATAGCTACTTGATCACATTCCTCTTCATGATGGAAAATTCTTTCCAGTTCTCCGTATTTATATAGCAAATTAAGATGTCAGTTAATGGCACAGTCGTTGGCACTATTAACATTTTGTTAATGAGTGAATATCCTGGAAATTACAGGACGTTTTGCAATGTCCCTGGCCTCTACCCCTAACTCAGTAGTGTCCCCCTCTCCCCTGAAAAATGTCTTCAGACAGTGCCAAATATCTTCTGGGGATGCAGGGTAGGGGTAGAGGGATTGTGAGGAGGATGTTCCCTCCCGTTCAGAAGCATTGGTTTAAGGTTATAATATCTCTGATTTAATAAACAAAAACTGAATTTCTTTTCAGAATTTTTTCAAGAATATATATATATTAATTAAAATAATCCCATAGTAGTTATTTCCCGAAGAGGTCTTGTTTGGTTTTGCAACAGTGAGATCTTACAAAAGATGTAGACCCATGGTTCTTGTCAAAACTAAAGCACTAAACCACCTATAACAGTGTGTGTGTGTGTTTTGTCTCGTAGGAAAAACAATTCTAATAGCTTAAATCGAATGAATGGTGTTATGTTTCCTGGAAATTCACCAAGTTATACTGAAAGGTAAGACTCTTGATTTTTAATGTTCAGAGGGTTTATGTTTTTCTAGTTTTGAGTAGCAGGCTGAATATACTTTTTTAAAAATTAGGCATTTTATGGAGGATATAGAATATACTAAACAGAATTTGTTAATTTGGTAACCTATGGATCTGAAAGTCAGAATGACCTTGAAAAGGATGACTTTTAGCAAAATGGGAAAATGATTTTCGTTTGTCTTACCACAGGTCTAACATAAATGGGCCAGGAACACCCAGGCCACTTAATCGACCAAAGGTTTCTTTATTAGTCCCTATGACAACAAATGGCTTGCCTGAGAGCACAGATAGCAAAGAGTCAAACTTACAGCAAACTGAGGACAAAAATCACAGGTTTGTTTGTGATATATATTTAAAAACAAAAACTGGTTTTATAATATGTTAGCATACATTGGTGGTTTTCAGCATTCTTTTACTATCTGTAATTACTAATGTTTTGAGGGTTAGAACAGGCGTTAATGTGGTTGTAGGAGCTATTAGCACATGCTGAAGAGAGGCTTAAAACTGCTAAATTGGGGAGGTCCTCTTTAAAGTAGGCTCCTTAAAGTGGTCATGATGCTTTTTTTTTTTTTAAGTTACTAGAAAAGTATATTTATAAATGATTTGAAATTTTGTGAATAATTTCTTACTATAGATCATAAAAGGAAACATTTTATTTATATCCCATCTCAAATTTTCTGCATCACATCAAGGGACAGAAGACTAAATGGGCGAGAGGGCTGAAAGGGCATGTCCATGGGGAAGACTTGTAGTTCTCCTACAGGGGGCGCTTCACTTGCTGGAGAATTGAACAGAAAGGTCATGTAGCTTGTTGACTAGTTACTAGTGGGAAATGTTCATTAGACAGTTTAGGTTCCCTTGAAATTTTTCTTGGCCCAGATTGTATAATTTTTAACTTTGACACTGAAATACAGTTAAAAAATCATTAGACCTTAAAAACGAGAATGTGGAGGGTGAGGAAGTAACCTGTTAATGACGCTGTACAAAACATTTGCAGTGACTCTTCGATGTCTGGATCAGAAGGTTCCTCAGTGAGCCCTGTAAAAAATAAGCACCCAGGTGAAGATGCTGTGGAATCTGAAGGGCATGAGGTAAAAAGACTTCGGTTTGACAAAGAAAGTGAAGTCAGGGAGACAGCCAGTCAGACATCTTCCAGTGAAAATCCTTCAGCTATGGTAGAAGAAACAGAAGCATCGTCTTCATCTCAGGATAAAGACAAAGAAAGTAGTTGTACCAGGCAACACAGCACAGAAGATCCTGAAGTGGAGGGTGAAGAGGAGGAAGAAGGTATTTAGAGGCCGTCTGTAAAAGGGTGGCCTGAGGAGACCCTCAGGCTCTCGTGCTGCGTTTTTGCGTGAGAGTGAGAGGATGGAACTCCTTTAATGCTGGTGTTGGGCTTCTCTCCCACGTTTATGTAGTTGCTGCTCAGTTTCAGGGGATATGATTTTGAACCATAGAATATCACAATTCATGAAACTTAACTGTTGGAGGTATTTTGAAAATAAAATTTAACTACAACAACATTTGCTTATTTTTAGAGTCTTTTATGACATCAGGAGAAATGATCCCTGAAAGAAAAAATCAAGAAAAAGAATCTGATGATGCCTTAACTGTGAATGAAGAGACTTCTGAGGACAGTAATCAGATGGAGGAATCTGATCTGACTCAGGCTGGGAAGGATTTACATTCTGAAGGCGGTGGGAAGACAGGCCCTGAGAGCAGTGGTTCTGGTGGCCATGCAGCGGAAGAATTGGTGGAACCCAGCTCCAGTGAAACTGGAGAGATTCTCTCAGAATCATCCATGGAGAACGATGGTGAAGCCACAGAAGTCACAGAGGAACCAATGGAACAAGACTAACTATTTAGAAACATTTAGATACAGTATTTTACATACAGTTCTGGTTTTACACTGTATAAAACTTTTATGTAATAAAGTGGAACCTTTAGTTTTACAAGAGAAGCAGGTTGTAATATAAAGTATTTTGTGGGATAAATCCTGAAAGAGTTGTACATGTAAGAACTGTGAATATCAGCTCCTTGGGTCCTGCTTACCGCTGACTTCTTTTGGTTTGGTCAAATCAGTGGTTTGTGTACAGATTTATTTTTTTTTTTAGAATTAAAGTTTAAACTGGAAAGTAATTATAATTTTGAAAATCTTTTGGAAATTATTTAGTTTATACATACACAAGAAAGCTTTTTGTCTTGTCTCTTTCTGACAGCTCTAGCAGTTTTCATATTTTGGTCATAGTTTCAACATTTTAACGTGAATTTTAGGGTTTCATGCTGATTTCCAGATTTTATTGTTTGACTGTACAATGGAACTTTAAGTCATATATACATACATATATATATATATACACATACATATATATATTATTCTAAGGGGGAAATGTTATATTTTTCTGTTTCTATAAGAGATGAATAAATACAGTGGATACTTTTTCTATTGGTAACGATTGAGTTCACTCTTTCAGAAGACATTTTCTTTCTCTTCTGAGTAATTCACATAAAATCTGGCCCTTGTGAAACCCTGGAAATCTAAAGTCTGCTGAAATACCAGGTTAAACACATTCCAAGAGATCTGTTCAAACTAAAATTCTTTTGTATACCTCTGAGGTGCCTGAGAAAAAGACTTTGTAATTTATGAGAAAATGTGCTTTATCTTGGAAATTGTGTTCAAACATTTGCTTACTATTTTGTAGAATGAATGCTTATAAAGCTGACATGAGAACATCTCAGAAGAACTGGGCACGTTCCTTAACTTTTTGCTTTGCTTTTCTGAACATTGTGAATATTACACAGTTCTTTCTAAATTATTCTAGAGTATACAAATGTCAATGACATGAAACACCACTGTACTGGAAAAATTAATATATTACTTTAGTAATGTACTGGAGCTAAATGACTGAAGCTTTAGGGGTACATAGAAATCACCATAATTTGTATGACATTTTGAAGTGAATTAAATATTTTTGGACATGCTTCTTCAACAGCCAGTGTTCTATTTTTCAGATCAACACAAAGCACAATGATTACTTTAAACTCAATATTTTCAAATTCGCATATCTAATGTCATGCAAGATGCAATTTTCCTGTCAAAATTACTGGCTGCCAAATTTGTACCTGTTTTCTTTGGCCGTACCTTTTGATATTTAGAATTTTTAAATTTCTGTAAAGTAGATTTTGTAGAATGTAATGTGTTCACTGCCTTTGTGACGCGGTATATAACTGTATAATTTCTGTGTGTAAACTGAATGCTTGGGCTTTCAATACAGTATTCATATAAAGCAATAAATACTAATGTTATGAAATATTTGAGTACATTTTTATCAAAAATTAAATAATTCCTTTTTTAGTTTCAGATACCTGAAGTACACAAATGAACTTATAAAACTGATGCAAACAATTTCTGACACTGTATCATCATATGCTTTTGGGTGATTTGGGTGGCAACCACAGTTTTGCATTTTGACTACTTAAATTGCTATGACTAAAAATACCAAAATGATCTGGCTCCGTTTATGTTTGGGGGGTAACATACTACTGATTGACTTGACTGTCAGGTTCACAGCAGCTAGATGATATATTTATGAATATGTCTAATAGTTGACATAAAAACAATACTGATTTGCTGAAAAATCACACGCAAATTTTTAATTTTGCAAAAATGTTAAAATGAAGCAATTTTTAAATGTGATACTCCTTTTTAGTGACCTGTTAACCTTATTTTGTTGGGTATTTTGCCAATGAGAACAGATTGTAAACATGTTAAATCTTGAAATTTTCTTTAGAATATTTATGAAATTATTGTCAATAAACCTGTTCTTTAAGATCCTGTGACCTTTTGACATTTTTATTTTATTGTGCCATGGATCATTTGTAAACAAATAGATTTACTTTGTTGCTTATAAGTTGAAGTTTTAGCACCATGACTTTGAGGTCTGTGGTTTTATTTGTAAACTTGCGATTGTTATTTTTGCAAGGGCAAATGTATATCTTTATTAAATAAAGTACAATAATGGTGAATGTACCAAAATGCTGTCACCTAACTCTATGAGAGATCTGCATTTTGATCTATAGTTTAATAATTTTCATATTTATAAGATTCATATGTTGATCATAGCTCAAGCTTGTTGCTTTTCATACAGATAACAGAGTGCTTATGGAATGTCTTTAGCATAGATGCAGTACCTGTAGTTACGCTGAGGAACATTATTTAGCTGGTGTAAGATACTGTTCCCCGTTTGGAGGTGAAGTTCCCCGAGTATGCATAGGTGCACTTTCGCAGACTTTGCTTCATGAAAATGTCATTTCTACTTGTAACTGATTCAGATGAGAATTTTTAAGACTAATTTTAGGCACATTTTCTTAACACACCACCAGGAAAGTCATATTAAAAGATCTAAAGTCTTAATGATTAATTGTAATCTCAGTGATTAAAACTTTCTTTTTTGGCCAGGAGCAGATTGTTTACCTATGACTCTAGACTCTGAACACAACATGTAAAAAGAATTTGAAATTCTTGCTGGTCAGAAAAGTGAGTATATAGACCTCATACATCTTTAGCCCTCTTCTCTTTTAAAATATAAACATCCCACTACTTTTTCTTTTCAGTTCTGAAAATGTAGCAGGACAGAAATTAGTGAGAAATGTCATGTTTTAAGGGTTTAGGATTTATTGTAACTGCACCTGTCAAAAGTGTGGCCTGGGCAGTGCAATTGTCTGTTAGGGAGCCATAACTCTTTGGCATGAAAAGGCATCCATGAAATCCTGGGCCAGAAGGTATGGCCTGTTAAAACATTGAGGCTCAGAGTATTTTGCTTTGCTGGTGTAGATAGGTATGTATTTATGCATTTTTACATATATAAAATCAGCATTTTTAAAAATAATATACTAGCTTACCTATAAAGGTAGTTGGGCAGAATCTAAAACTGCTACAATGTTTGATTATGAGAGATGTATCTTGTAGTAAGGCTGAAAATGCAACTTGTGGAAGCAAAGGAAGTAACAATTGGGTAGTGTTTCAAATTGTCTTCTGAACAGGAATTTCTTAAATGCACTGGTTTTGGTCAAGTGAAGCTCAGTTCTCTCTTCATATTTGTGCTAATAAAATGGATGAATGCAAAAACACCTTGTAATTTCATATGCAATCATAATTAGGTTTATTGGGTTATCAGCCTAATGTTAGGATGTATTGATTAGAATACATCTAATATTTCACATTTTAAAACATCAGTACACTTTCAGAATTTTCTTTCAATTTGGAGTCTAGATTACTTTGCCAAATGTATTATTTTCTTAGTGCAATAAAATATAAATTAGAAGACTATATGTGTGGAATTATTTCATTTGCTATAGTAATTCACACAGCCCCTCCCTC